TAATAGGTAGACCTTCATCCTACTTGATGGAGGCTAAGCGAGTAGTGTTGCCTCCCTTAATAATTCTGAAAGTATTTAAACTTGCACAGGTTTGTCCAAAGATTAAGAAATAATGGTCCTCAGGTCATTTTCTATACTATTGAACTTACTTATATAGAGAGGGATCAGTAAGGGCTGAGGAGACTTGGAATACCTTGCAATTTTGTATTGAATATTGTAATTATGAGATAGAATGTATAAGACTATTTGGAAAGTCAAAGGCAATATTCAGTGGAAAGCCTTCCTATGTGAATTTTACAACTAAAGTAATATATATGCAGTTCATTTACCTAACAGACATTGGCCAGTTGTCCTTATTCCCAGGTCAGAACTGGAAGTTGATGTGACTTAGTATTATAAAATCAGTCTTACTTATTGAATTTATTTAATATTTTGCTATCAGAATAAAAATTTGATGCCTACAGTTACTGTCTTCTGATTTGTTTTTCCTTAAACACAGCAGCTTCATCAAAATATCAAGGTTACTTAAAATTTCCATCATGGGTGCCATCCTAGCTTAGTATATACAAACTTGAGATCAAGAATTTTCCACACAAATATGTGACCACTGAAAAAAATATAGCAACCCCATGTTTAAAACTATTCGCTGTTTCAAAAAGACTGATTTTATAAACCAGAATTTATTACCAACACTGACAACTAACCAGTAATGTGACCTATGAAAATAAGGACAAGTTGCATGTTGGTACAGCTAGTATTATGTCAATTAAGGAAACCAGACTAGGCTACAATTGGCAGTATGATTGTATAGGTATATTTTATATCTGATAATATTTTTAGATCCATGGAAACTCTAAAATTTTCATAACAAAAATATAAAATGAAACCATTCTTTACCTCCTGTGTCGAAGTCGGGGAAGTAGTCAGGGCAGAGCTGAACGGAGAGCACACCAGCTGGGGTATCATCCCAGCACATCCATCCGTCCCAAGTGCGATTGCAGTAGAGACCTGGGCATTAGAAAGAAATTAAAATTGAATACATGTGGTTTTAACAAAAGGAGAAGACTAATCCCAAGACATTTTACATGTACCCAAAGTAATTTATTCTGAAAAAAAAATTTTTTTTTTTTTGTATTTTTAGGGAAGGGTCTACAGGGTGTTCAGGGTCTCACTCCTAGATGGAACTCGGAGTGATTCGCCTGTTTACAGTCTCCCAGGAGCTGGGATTACAGGCACGCACCGCCACACCCAGTCTCAATTGCTGTCTCAGCGTGCCCTGAGGGTGGGGCTGGCATAACAGACCTGGGGATTGAACACTGGTCCCTGCACCTGCGTGCAGGCGCTTTAACTTGCTGAGCTATGGCCAACCCATTTTAATTTCATTTTTATTTTTTTGAAAACAAATTTTGAGACAGCTTTAACTTATCTGTTAAGAAATTTTCTCATTGGATGACAGGAAAGGTTCTAGTTCTAGTTTTTAAGTCGTTACAAAGCTGAGTTTATAGACAATTAGCTCCAAAGACTAAATTTCACTATCTCTGTTTTTAAATTATATGACAAATAAATCGAATGCATATGTCGGTTGTTAATCACATGAGTTTTGAAGCATGTTGAGAAAGTTTACTTCCCAAAACTTTATCCTTCTTTAAAATACCCAAGCAAGAAATTGGATTCATTGATTGATTGATTGATTTACTGTCTGGCTCAGCCTGCCCTGAGGGCAAAGCTGGCATAGCATATGGTGCCAGGGATTGAACTGTGGACTTCGGTGCCTACCTAAGCTTGCTTAAGCAGGCACTTTAGATAGCTGAGCTGTCTTGCTGGCCCAGGAAATAGGACTTAAATCAATGGGTCTTGCAGATATTGTCGGGTATGTTATAATTTCCCGTCATTATCAGCAGTAGGGATTGAAGGAATAATTCAGTAAGAATGAATTACTTGACAAAATTCAATTCATTCTTCAAATTTTTTAAATAAATGTCAAGAATGGGGATATTTTCAAGGAATAGATTTTTCAAAGTTAGTCAGCATATTGCATCCAACATTTTTTCCTTTTCATTCATTTATTTTTAACCAATAAGGTATAGGAATTGACGAGGAATCACTGAATTTTCTAGCCAGAGTTTGTCCTGGATAGTCTCACAACCAAATACTGATTTGGGAGACTAGGTTTACATGAAAGTGAGAGTATAATGAGAGTTGTGAAAAACTGTAGACTCTTCAATAATAATTAATTTTCATGATTGAACAATAACAACCTTATTCTAGAACTTTCCACTGAGATATGGGTATCAACAGCAACAATGACCACAACAATAAAAATGCTATCAACTTTACCTACCACTAACTAAATGTACATATCTATAAAGTTTTCCCCATTAATTCCTCAAAAGGTATACATTACATGTGCACATTGCCTCCTTCCTATAAAAGCTTTTCTTTCAAATTATTTCCAGAAATGGTACAAGGGATCTTTTGTTGTAAAAGTGAAATTTCACACCTTGATAAACCCTTGTTTCGAAAAAAATCTATGACACAGGAGCATGCCCTACTGTACCCAGCTTGAAAATTCAAGAGCAGCCTGGGAAATTTAACAAAACCCTACCTCAAAAAAGTAAAAAAAAAAAAAAAAAAAAAAGTTTAAAGGGCTGAGGATGTAGTCCAGAGGTGAATCTCTTGCCTTGCATGGGCCACAATTCTGAGTTCATTCCTTATTACTAAAATTAGTATCTATGTAATTGGTGAGCATGTGGCTGTTATAGACCATTAACCTGGTAATGTTATTCTTGATCCAAGGGTGATGCAATTGTTCAGATTTCCTACTGAATATACCCTGGTAGTCAGTTAATGAATCACATATAAAAAGCATTACTACTTTAAACTTATACTTTCTTATTAAATATATTAATGCTCAGTTTGGCCACTTTTTATATTTGTTAACATTGGCTCCAAGAGGTTTCTTGCTGTTCATAGAATTGAAAATTAAATTTACTCTGCACTGTGAAAATTCATATCTATAAAGGTACTCAAAAGAAGGAAAATTTCAAAAGCAGGTTAAAAGAAAAACTATCAGAGATGAAAAATTCATCCTTTCAAGGCAGGTAAGACCTAAGTCAAAAAGACTGTGTTCATTCTAACCCTGAAACTATCAGAGTGTTTTATGTTTGTTTCTCTGATTGGAAGATGCCTTTCAGTGCTTGATGAGCAGTAAGACTACAGCAAACAGAAGAATAATGTGCTTTTGTCTTTCAATGGACTTGATATTTTTCTTAAAGGGAAATGTTAAAAATAGGAACTGAAAATTAAAACTTTATTTAGAAGGAAACTATATGTAGATGCAGAGTATGTTTAAGCATTTATCCCCTTACCAGGTTGGGTTGTTTCAGAATGTGCAAGGCTGTACGAGATCTTACTGAATTTGCAATGTTTTAGGGGCAAAAGAAAATAAATGAAATGAATGCCCAATGCCCAGCTATCACTTAATCCTAATCTCTGTTTTCATTTTAAGTTCAACAGCTAAAAGAATATGGTTTCCTCTAACTATATATTTGGGCAACAAATAGAGCATTCTACAGGTGACACACAATGCCTAGGTGGTGAACCTGTGGGACACATGATGCACTAGGCTGTTCGTAGCATTGAAAGATCTCTGAGGTTCACCATCAGCACCCTCGGAGATTCTCCAGAAAGGGAAAAGAAATGGTGGTGAAGGAACACAACTAACCTAAACAAGAAGGGGCTTGATAAATTCTATCTCAGGAAAATCCTCTTTCTGTCCCATTCCGCCTCCCTTTCCTATTGCTTTCTACTTCCCCTCCCTCAGTCCTGTATTGTTCCTTCTTGCCAGCTTTGAATGCTGCTTTATTCCCTAAGTCCTGTGGTAAGGGAAGGTGCTAGCCAAAGAAGAGTCCAATGAATTTGAGAGAAAAACTAAATATACCAATTGCGTGAAACACACAAACACGCTGCATTATAAACACAGCTGTGAAAAATGCTGGCATATGAAAATTTTCAACCATGGGGAAAATCAGTTTTAAATATGTATTTAAATATTTCAAATATGTATTGACATATACTTTTCTACTTACCCTCTCCTTCATAAGGAGGCAACTGTTCCATACGGTCATAGCACTGATACTGTGCATCTATTAACTTCTGTCGTCCAACGGCATACAGATATGGTTCAGGCTGAATTGTTGGATAGGTGACATTTGCAGTGACAGGCAGAACTGGAGTTGGTGTCTGGATTAAAAAGAAAAATCAGTTACTTATAGAGACTAAGGATGGATGAATGCATAAATAAATGAGGTAATAAAAAGCTTGAAAACATTTACTTATTTTCTAAAAGCAATGCTTATTCATGCTCTCCATGTATAATATTTTTGCTTTATAACTAAAACAGTATATTTATATATCATAATTCTACCTACAAGTTTTATATTCATATTAATATGCATTAGTTATTAAAACTAGGTAGCATCCACACACACTCACACATCTCTTTATTGTCTACAATTGTCTCATTATCATTGTAAACTTCGGAAGTAAAGCAATTAACCTCATTAAGAAACAATATTAAGTTAACTTTGGTTTCTTTGGAACTCTTAGAATCATGGATGTTATTTAAAAATAGTGTAGTAAATACATTTCCTTTATTGGATTTTTTCAGATAAATTTGTTTGTGTTTGAATTGTGCACACTGCCATAAATTTACTCCGTTTGTTCCATAGAAGGGACAGAACGTATTTTCTGCCTCTGGTAACTGAGTTCGATCTCTTTAGATTGGTCTCATTTGTACATGATCTCCTCAGGGTAATTCAGTTTTGCTGGTGAAAAAAATCAAAGTAGTTAAATACTGAACTCATACCTTTACATTTTTGGTACAGTTTGACATGTTCCGTTTCCCTTATGCGTCACCACCATCATAGCTCTGCATTTCAGTCTCTGCCATACCAGCCTTTTAAACTTGTGATTTAAAAAAAAAAATGTATTTGGTTGTTATAGAGTGTCACTACACAGCTTGGACTCATGGTGATCCTCCTGCTCTTGGCCTCCTCCGTGCTGGGATTATAGGCATACACCACCTTGCCCGGACTCCGGCCAGCTCAGCTTGCCCTGGGCTGGCATGGCATGCAGTGCCAGGGATCGAACTGCAGTCCTCGTGTTCGCCTAAGTTTGCCTAAGCAGGTGCTTTAGTCTGCTGAGCTATCTCGCTGGCCCTAACTTGTGATTCTATTACAGAGTTTGATTTCATTTATAGCTATGCCTGATATTTATAATAGTATTTAAATCTATTATTTTTTAATGTTTATGCTTTGAATATGTCTTTGTTTTTGTATCTTTTATTTTTTTATTTTTTCACTGTCTAACAACTACCATTTCTTTCTTTCTTCCCCATAATTTTATTGAGAAACAAATAGCAATGAGACAGTTTCAAACCAAATGGTTGGACAGTTTCAATAATTAACACATTGCATACATTCTTCCTAGTGGTTATGTTTTTGTATTTTTTAGAAGACTTCAAAATTTCAGCCTGTTCTAATTTTCCTTTTCTTGAAGTTAATTCTCCTTTTCCTTTAACTTTTCTGTCAAACCCATTGAAATTTTTTTTTTGCCTTATTGTATCAAAGTTATTCTAAGACTGAAGTTTTCAGAACTGTATGATGGCACAACTAGTTTTAAGTTCTTTTCTGCATTCAACAACGTCTCTAAATCCAACTCATCCTACAAAGCTGACCTGTATTCCACAGGACATTTGTAGGAGAATGTGTCATTGTTTATGTTCCATGTGTTGCCATGTCACTAATTCTGAGCTTTAAAATACAAAACACGGCTGAAATCCAGAGTAGGGAGAGAATGTGAATTAAAAGTATTCTTTAAGGGTATAGATATTACAGAATTTGAATTGGAACTTGAGTGTATGCAGTATCTAGTTAGACAAAGAGGAGACAGAGGCTTTAGGGATGGAGGGAAAGGAATGCGCAAAGATTGGAATTGGAACCTGTGAGAAACTATAAGGGAACTATCCTGTCCAAAAGGGAAGGTAGCTGAGGGTAGGTAAGACAAAGGGTTAGGAAGTCAGACAATAGAGAGCTTTGAAAGCCAAAATACAAAGTCAAATCCTGAATTGTCACTTTGAGTAGGTTAGAAACCTTCCCAGTTCATGTTTCCTCATTCTTAAAATAAGAATAGTGCTAAGGACATCTCTCCTCAACAGTTAACATGAAGATAATAAAATAAAGCCAATATGACAAAAAAAAATGTGACAAAATAAAAATAGTTTGCCACTTGATCAGTGAAGGCTGTGGAAGGAGAATTTCAGTAACATTCATGTGGCCGGCAGCAAATGTTGACAGCTTCTATCTGGCCCGGGTTGGGTGCTCCATAATGGAACAATGAAGTGAACTCTCAAAATATGAACATGCATTGGAAGATGGAGGTCTAATGTGGGCCAGACAGCAGTAATGGCGAGAGGGCCCAGGTGGTTGGCCTGCATGACTAGAAAAGAATCCTGGTTCCCTGAGACAAGGGGGAATGGGGAAAGGAAAATCTTAACAGGGTGAAGAAGGTAGATTTTTAAAAAATATTATTTATTTATTTATTTATTT